TGCCTCAGGATTACAATGCTCGTTTAACTGTGATTTATTTTCCTTGTTTTAGGAGGTAAGATCTACATACTAATGAAAGGACTAAACTTCTCTATGCCCTGCCCTGAACGTGGTCACGACTTCCACTGGAGTAAGTAGATGTTAATTTGCTTACATCTTATATCAAAACTTAGATTTATCATACTTTTTAAAGCTAGGAATTCTCATTTTAAAGAAGTTTGGTAGTTAGCTACCACAGTATTAGAGTTTTTCGAGATCGAACCACTTGAATTCGCCGTCAGAGTTTGGTTTACCACTTTCCTACTCGTACGCATAATTTATGAAGGTGTTTCCTGTCGCCCACTACAGATACTCAATTCGTAGCTACGGTTCAGATAATTAGTCCATTCTCAACTTCTTCATTCGTTAGTTATTTAGTCAATTCCACATCTCGAATGTGACAATTAGGTATTTTTCTCTCTTTAACTTAGCTATCGTTGTCAATACTGTCTTGAAAACAAACTAATAATAATTCCTTTTTCCTCCTCAATAGAAAGTGGAAATTTCATGTGTGCAGTAACTAGTGCAAAAGAATGTTTCGACTCATGTCTCAAGGTTGGCTGTCGCGAATGGTCGTTTACCAGCTTTATGAGTATTCGGGACACCACCCCTCGTAAACATTACAGATGTCGGTGTGTACCTGCTTACCGTCTCTGCACGTACAACGCAATACCCAAGGCTTATCGGGGCTACGAAAATGCTTAAGTCTGGGGTACATTATTTTATCCCCTCCCTTTCGATACGAGTCCCTCAGTCCGGGTTCTACAATTGTGCACTTTGGTCTGCATACCAAATAGAGTACCACCAGCAGCAGCAGTAAAAATAACATCTTCAAGGAGGAGCGGTGGCAAAAAATTTAATAAAATATTTTTTAATGGTACAACGTCCTGGCTGCAGTATATACTATATTTTATAACAAACTCTAGAAAAAAACAACCGGTATACATGTAATAACACAATCTCTGAATCACCGGAACAATTGTCGGAGGTGTGGATCACGTTGCAGGGATGAACTGGTGACTAAGGCAGTTGAATAATATGTTGAATGTGGATCTGCGTTTGAGCTTTCATATCTCTTCACATTTTTTCTCACAATTTTGTTTTAAAAGGCAGACCATGCGCCTTTGAGTGGACTTTTACTGCTTTTATTTACCACAACTCTGAACATGCCATGCATTAATGGTCCTGTTTCCAATAAACAGCTCATGGAAAAAGCATTTACTTTTCCGTCATCCTAATAAATCCACATTAATCTGG